CGTTGAAAATAGACTCATTCGATGCAGATTTTTTGTCTCTATTAGAATCCGTAAGAACATTTCAGATACTGAAAAGTATTTCTATTGATAAATGTCAAGTACTGTCTCAACTGGATCCTATTGCTATTCGAATGATTTTTTTGTTCGTGAGAAGTTATCACTTTATACGGTACCATCAGCGGGATTTTTTATTGAATGTGCACTTTAATGTACTCTTTCTGTTGTACTTAAATCGCATTTTACAAGTTTAGAGTTTCCTTTCCACGGTCGAAACGATTTTTTCATGAAATTCTTTTTTCGACAAGGTTGTGGGTAAAGCGCATTCAATAAAAAAATCACTCTTATAGTAATAAAACCGAATTAGGGCAATATTTGGCATTTATTGATAGAAATACTTTCCAGTATCTGAAATGTTCTTACCGATTCTAATAGAGACAAAAAATCTGCATCGGATGAGTCTATTTTCAATGAATCCAAATTGGATTTCCATGCATCTTCAGATCAAAGACTGCTTTTCTTAGAGCTTTCAGAAAGTGCTTTAGACCTTTTGTTGTTATCCTTTATATTAATATCTACTTCGTAATGAAAATCGGATGGTTGTTTTTCGAATAACTCTTCAATGGAAATAGCTATCGATCTGCAGTTTTCATCATTAGAAAGAGGGTGAGATTCTGAATCTTTCGCTATATTAGTTAACAATACTACGTAGCTTATAAGTCAGATAAGCAATCAATGAAATTCAAAGAAGCGCTTAAAGTTCTCCTACTCAATGTCTATAACTCTGCATATGCCCAAAATTTTTATTTTATATCATTCAAAAGATATGCACCCAACATTGATGGTGAAAACTGCTCGAAATAACTTTTTCTGACTATTTTTTGAAGTTGTTTTTAATTTTATGTATATCAACCCTCACTCTCACCCTCTAGTGTCATAATAGTTTGCGACGAGAGTACTTGCTATGTGATGTAATATGATTATCACTGGTTTTACATGACAAAGAATGATTTCCTTATAATATGAACAGTTTCGTTCAGGTCAGAATGATCGAAACCCTAAACGTTACTTGATAGACACAGAATTATAAAAAAAAAAAACTTGAAAAAATAGTCACAAAAAATTATTTTGAGCATTTTTGGCCATCAATGCTGGGTGTATGTCTTTTAAATGATACAAAATAACAATTTCAGGTGTAGATAAAGTTATAGATCTTGAGTAAGCGAATCTAACGTACTCCTTATAATTGAAATTCTATACATTTTTCAAAGCACTTTAAGTACTTCTTTAAATTTCACTGACATGTAAAATATCAGTCTCTTTCTAATGGTGAAAACGGCAGATCGATAACTCTTTCCATTGAAGAGTTATTCGAAAAACAACCACCCGACTTTCATTTTGAAATGGATATTAGTAATAACTATAGAAAAAAAGTATTGAGGATATCAAAACTGTCCCCGCACAATATCCTTTGCCGAAAGGCAGAATATTCTTCTTCCATGATCGCACAAATCCTTTTTACTACAGTAGCAAAACATAGATATTATTTTAGTTTATAAAAACAGATCAGAACTATACTAAATAGTGGTTTACGTAACACATTAATGATACTTTCTTTGCTTTTTAGCTAATAAAATTCGTGAATTCATTCGTAATTTGTTTCCCAAAATAAAAAATATTTTGCTCAATTTAAATCTCTTTGAATCGACACCACCCTCAACTGATTCAAATACATTGCGCAATCAAAGAACATCGACAAAGTTATTTCTGATTTTATTTATCTTGTCAATGTTTATTATTGTTCTTTATACATCTTTGGTCATCAGAACTAAGACAATGCATTTTAAAAATCCAACTATTGAAAAATATTCACTGTTATATTCAAAATATTCGGAACAAATAACATGTTCTTGCAGTAAAATATCCATAAGTTATAAGAAGATTATGAATATTACATTTACACTTCATCAAGTGTGCACTAATGACCTTATTAGTGGAAAATGGATAGAAAATATGAACAATGACTTTGATCGGTATGTTTATGATGAAGATGAATTTCCATCGATTGCTCCTACCGCGTTCCAGGCACTCAACGCACTTTGCCAATTAGTTAATAAAACCATTTTGGAGAGTTTAAATCGATTTTATCTAAACCAATATATCAGTACATCAATTACACCTAAACATATATTAGAAATACAAACAGATTCTTTTGCGCGTCAATTGAAATCGTCAACAACGGAAGCCTTTTTACTATCGTTAGATATGATTCGAAATACAACTCAATCGAACGGTTTGATATCAGCATTACAAACAAATTACAAATTCTATAGAGATATTTCATCTTTTAAGTTATTTACACAAGCAAAGTTTTACTTGGATTGTGATTGTTCGATTGATCTGACATGTGTAAAACCGGCAGGCTTTAAGAATCGGAATAACGGCACCTTATATTTTGTTGTGCCCGGTATCTACACAGGATGCTATCCGATCGAAGGAATTCTTCAATCTAATTTGGAGTGCTTCTTTACCGAAGAATGCATTAACGATGTCATGTCGAAAACATTGTTGGATCCATCAATCTATCCAGCAGCTCTTGATTCATCGTTAGAGAGTCAATATCTGCCAAATACACAAATAAAAATTATTCTTGATCAATTAATGATTGAACAATGGAACAAGAATATCACGTATGAAGGCTATTATGCAGAATGTCAACCATATGATTGCACTAATACAATCAAACATAGAAATGATGTCATTTATATAGTCACCATGATTACTGGTCTAATGGGGGGTTTAGTAACGGTTCTCAAGCTAATTGCTCCATTGTTAATTAAATTAATAAGAAAAATTTATCGACGCACGACGGTTGAGCCTGGTAAGCTATCGAAGAAAAATTTTAATCTGTTGATATTAAGAGCACATAAGTTTCTCTTCTATCTGAAATATGGAATGTAAATTAGAGTTCAGACTGTCATCTAGTTTCGACTACTCTTTTCTAGTTTAGTATTTCTAACCCTGATCCATCTATCTATAAGACTATCAATTGTCGTCCACCTGAAGTCTTATAAAAGACAAATAAAATATAAGACTGTCATTGTTTTATTATGGAACTATAGTAGGTCTAGAGAAGATTTAACTGCAAGAAGAACAACGCTTGAATTAGTATTCAGTTAATATAAAGGAGAGAAGGGTGATGTTTTGATTGCTTGCATTTTTTTTCTGTGAAATAGTAGATTCAAACTTCTTTTGTTCTTAGAAATGCGTAAATAGTATTGTAACAGTGCCATCTTAAACGGTTTGGTGGACAGTTCAGATGAAAGAAAGTACGTCACAATCTTATTTAACTTGGTACTAGAACAGTTCATGAAAACTGGAACTGATCCAGTTCTTTCAAATTGTAACTGTCACAGTCCTACTTTAAACTTGTTTCAGCTCGCGAGTTTCATGAGACCTTTCATTTGCGATAAACAAAAAATCGAAAAAAATTTTCCCTGACGTTCTATAGGTAGAATAGAATGCTCTTCTGGCGGACTCTCTTTTAAGGATTTCAAGTTCCCTTAGAGAAAATTCCCGTACGAAAATACAAGAAAAAGTTTAACTGCTTACTCCAGTCTCCTGTAAAAAAGTTCAGTTCTCTTCTCCGAAAATGTTGGTCGGAAGTAGGACGAAAGTATTTGTACTTGTCCTATCTCGGAATTCAGCAACCGGATACGACGACAGAATACGGTTCGTAATCTGTCATTTTCAGTCTCATGATGACATTAGTTTCCACTTAATGAATCGACGATTCTTTCGACAAGTATGTGTCAGTTATATCTCATTCTTGTAAAAATACTAGGAAAAAGATTATAATCGATTAGAACTGGATCATAAATCATTCAAATTCATACAAAAAGTCACTTTATAGAAAGGATTCATTATATCAAGAAACGTTAGATTATTCACATGCAGACATTCACGACCCCATTATTTATTCATGAAATAGATTCTCAAATGTTAACTGCTTTATAAAATTGCCAACAATATTGTCAGAAGTTTTGGTTAGATTCAAGTATTTTAGAGTCATAAAAAAAAGAATAAAAAAGACTCAGTCACAATCATATCCAAAATTATCTAAAAGAATTTGTTGCATTTCATTCGTTCGTTACTATATAGACATAATGCTTGCAGAATTTTCGAAGTGATAAAACTTGATTAAGAGATTTCGAGTTAAATTATTTCTATATCTCTGACGGATTGTTAATCAGTACTCAATCATCAAAATGTCTTTTCGTCGAAAATCTTGCAGATATTGACAAGCATAAAAATATGCGCGAAGTTTTTTCCTATGAGAAAATCATTTACTGTCTAATTATTATTTTCTAGTTATGAATGTTGGGCAACGCATTCGCATCATTTTTGGAAAAATGATGGAACTAATACGAAATTTGAATCTCTTTCCTGCAGTCCCACCCTCAAATGATTCCGATACACTTCGAAATGAAAGAATAGCAACAAAATTATTCATCATTTTATTAATTCTGGGAACATTTATTCTTTCTCTCAACACATATTTCATCATCGTTATCAAGACAGTTCATGTTAATAATCCAACTGTTGAACAATATACACAATTATATTCACAATACTCTCAAAAATTAACATGTCCATGCAGCAAAATATCAATAAAGTATGAAAAGATTATTAATGTTACAGTTACATTTCATCAAGTTTGTACAAGTGATTTTATTAGTGAACTTTGGTTAAAATACATGAAGTCAACAACCATTACCCTATACTTTGCTGACTTTCGAAGGTTTAGCATATATACATTTCAAACATTACAGATTCTTTGTCGATTAGTTAATAAAACAATTTCTGCTAATCTAGACGATTTCTATGCTGATCAGTATATCAGTACATCGACAACGCCTCAAAATTCCTTACGCACACAAGTTGATTCTATGTTTGCTCAACTCAAAATATCAATGAAAAATAGTTTTTTGCAAACATTTCAAATGATTCAAAGTACAACCTATCACAATGTTCTTACCTCGGCAGCTTTAACAGATCATTATTATACAGATGTTGACCTTCTTGGAATTCCACTTAGCTTTATAGTTGCTCGATCAAATATATGGTCTAACTGTGATTGTGCAGTGAAGGCTACTTGTATTCAATCGGCTGCAATTTATAATATTACGAATAACAGAGTACTTTATACAGTATCAGGAATGTATATTGGATGTTATCTTATTGAAGCTACTCTACAATCAACTCTCGAATGTCTTTATAATAAAACATGTTTAGATATGATCACGTCTCATGTTACGAGGTCTCCGGCAATTGATTGGATACCCCTTAATTCATCGCAAAGTCAGAACCTGACAAATGAAACAATACAAGTAATACTCGACCAATTAATGGTTCAAAAATGGAATTGGTCTATTAACTATGACAGTTATTATACAGAATGTCAACCATATGAGTGTATGTACACATATGAAAGTAGAAATGATGCTATTTATATAGTTACTACTATAATTGGTCTTGTCGGTGGCTTAACAACTGCTCTAAACTTGAGTGTCTCAAAAATTGTTTTGCCAATATTAAAATATATCCAAGGAAAAAAAAGAAGAGTTATTCCAATTATGTTATTTCAAACAAACGAAGCATCAAAATGAGCATGCTAAAATATCAGTCATCATGCCCTGACTTAACAACAAATACCCGTTAATATTCACTAATACCTTGATACTGTTAGCATATTGAAAAGTATTTTAAAAACAGTTAAACACATGAACTATGACCTGAAATAGACATATAAAGCAGCTAATAAGTGTCAGTGGACATTAGCTTTGTTTATTAATGGTGTTAATAAATATCTACTTATGATGTCTCTTCTTTGTATACGATTTCATTTTCCTATGTGATATCTGTTAGGTAGGACTTTTTTGAGCATAGATTCCGTTTTGCGATACATATTTCTTCGCCTTACTAATTACTTTGGGGTTTTTCTTATCATAAGAGAATATTTTTCTAAATGTACTACACGATAATAGTCACTGAGAATATGAGGATTTTACTTATAAAAGTTTTTGTTTTCAAAAACAAATAACTTTCAATAGTTTTGATCGCGAATGTAAAATAACCATGCTATATAATAAGACCAATTAAAAATCATGACCTAAAGATATATACGACAAGAAATAATATTCGTCTCTCAGGTGAGAGAATATGTATCGAGCTAGTATGGGAAACATAGAATATGGTGTCAAGGTCCAGCCTTCTATCGATGATCATCCCAATCTGTGATAGAAATGTGCAAAGTACAGTAGAGTCAGGAGAAGAAAGATGTCATACCATAGACTAATGAGAGAAGGAAAAGAAGTGATAAATCGTTTTTGAGTTGAGACTATGTGTATCATGTAGTCCCTAATGAACTCTGAATACTCTGAAAAGAGTTCGAGCTAATAGCTTATTGGCGTCGAGATACTGAATTTTTATGGTGTTTTCTACATGAATATCGTGGTCCTCCTCACGAATACTAGAAAAAACTGATTTTCGAATTTCCATGTGAAATTTTCCACAGCTGATTTTTACATCGCTTATATATATATATAAACAGATTCGATATTTGTTTTTCAGGATAGGAGCAAATCAAAAGATCAGAAACTTTCACAATATATATTTTAATCCACAAAAATCATTCAAATTCTTAAAACTGTCGCGATTTCTTAGAAATCATCTTAATTGCTAATTGATTAACTAAATAAATATTTTCTTTCTTACAGGATCTTCTTGACTGGTTTACTGTTTGTTTTTCCTCGCCTAGGAAAGAGAAGAAAATCTACGAAAACTTCATCGTTACTAATCACACACTTTTTATTCACTTTTCTTGTTTTACATATCGAAATGATGATCTAAACTCACCCATTTGACTAAGAATCGAACCGAGTCAAACTATGTCAATCTCTGCTCTGCAGGAGATACGATAATAAGCTTGTTACAAGGAAATCTGTATTTTTATTATTTATTTTCCCAACTTTGATTTCGAGAATCTAAGTTAGATCAGTGCATGAAACTCTAGAAGAATCTCATATCCCCGTGCCCTCTTCAGAGTCCAGAGATCAAAATAAATTTTCTTTTTTTAAAGATGTTATTCGAATCAATTAATCAGACATCTAATGCTGATTCTCGATATATAGAAATTTTCCTACGAAATGTTCAGTGTTATTAAAAACTCCTCAATATATTCACCTGTTTGGATAGAGAGATGGATCTTTAAAAAAAACTCATAGTTTATCTAAGAACATCCTAGAGACCATAATGTCTATAAGTACCATATAATATCCCTCAAGAATTATAACTAGTCTGTGATGCCTGATTACATGAATATTTGATGAAAATGTGGTTCTCTATATACCATTTGATATGCCTCCTTTAATTTTCTACATATAACTCAATTGCCTATGGAAATACTTTTTTCTTCTAGATCGCATAGAAATTGTGATTGTCTCCGAGAAAGGTTTCTCTTCATAACAATGATCTATCCCGTAAAGATCACCTTCTTATTAACATTGTTTATCATGATAACAACTGCTATCATTGTTACATTCGCCATGCATCTTTGGTCAAAAAATAATCGAGCTGCACTATTAAGTAAGGTCATCTTTGCTATTGTATGAATATTAAAGTTTATTTATTTGATAGACGAAACAGCAACACAAGAAAGCACTTCAACCGTGTCAACAATGAAAAAAGGTAACTATAAAGTTTATGAAAACCAACAAAACTCATTATTGCCACTATTTTTTGTCGGTTTTATTGCTTTGTAAATGAAAACATGTTCTCATTCGTTTGATGAAACAAGATTTCTGTTTTCTAGTTCTTCCTATGCTGAAGAAGTTTGTAACTTTACGATTTTTATCAGCCATACCCTAAAGATTTTCTGCATAACAAGATTAAAATTCATGATAGTTGCTCCAACGACACTCGCTCTCATACAGCACTCAGTCAGATACTTGTTAATACAGAAAACAATTGATAACCCATATCTTTTGCCAGTGAGTAGTCTGACTTGAGTCAGGTACATACCTTAAATGTTCGGTTTACATATGCTACTCTAGGAAAAATAGGAGGGTGGGGCTGTATTTTCTCAATTTTAAGTCTTATTATTGAACTTTTCATATAGTTCGTGTCAACATGTTCAATTGATTTCTCTTATCAGTTACCATATCTTGGAGGTGAGAATGAGGATGAAAATATTATCTTTAACTATCCATTCTCATCCCTAACCCTCAACCAGCTAACGGAAAAAGCCGGTTGAGTTAAAATGCATTAACTCGTTAACATCCCAAAAAAACAGATTTATTCTTCCATCCATGGTTAAAATATTGGTGTGCTTTTTTCCTCTAAAGTACAGTGACAAACTATCCGTGACAAAACATTAAAAACTCAAAACTTTCAAATAATATCTGTTCCTTTTTTGTTCTATCAATAGTCGCTTCATTAATCGTACAATCTCAATACGCATCAGCCTTGACTACCTTCAGTCAAACGTATCTTCGCGCAGGCAGTTATTCAAGCTCAACCAATTACTATCAAGCCATTCAACTGGACGTGCCCATGACTGGAAATTATACTATTCTATGCCATAGTAACATGGATACCTATGGCTATATATACAATAACACGTTTGATCCTATTTTCCCGTTTCTAAATTTACTCGCATCAAATGATGATACTGGTGGCAATAGACAATTCAAATTGAAATTACTTCTTCGTATTCGAACACAGTACATTTTAGTTACAACAACGTACAATGTTGGCGTAACAGGATCATTTTCAATCACTACAACTGGCCCGGCATCGATTAGTTTTTCTCCAATGAATATAACAAGTGAGAATTCAATATACTTGAGAGTATTTTTGCAATCGTACGGAGCTTACCAAAGATTAATTCCGTAAAATTCTAGAAGTGTTCATTGCATCAAATGAACTCGAATATTTTGATATGTATACTACTTATGAAAAATCATATATCCAAAGTACTAGTTTCCTGTCAATTCATTAATCTTGACATCTAGCTACTGCTAACAACCAATCTTAGTGAGCATCATTGATTACAGGATAGAGCCCGGCGTGAATCACGGTCGTGACTAATATCTTCTAATAGTTCGTGTCCGTGATCAAAAAACTTGATCACACTGGACACTAGTCCAGGACGAAAAGATAGTGAAATCCGGCTGCTTCCAGTCAGTTTCATCTCGACGAGACCGCTTCAAAGCAATCCACTTTTGATTATCGATTGATTTCTCAACGCGTTCTCAATCAAAGGTAAACTGAAATATCATCCAAAAGAAACACATGAAAGCGTATAAACTCAGCACACTTCATTGAGTAACTTATAGAAAGTTGTACGGACCAAACAGAGCGCTGAATTAATGCCAACCAGATAGTCATAAGCTCAAAAATTTTGACCCCTATACTTTTTGATTTCAAACGATAGAGCATCATTGAAAAACTCTAAATCCAATTTTTTAAAGATTTGATCATTTTCTTCATAGTAAGTTAGCAGAATCTTTTCGAATTATATCTCATTTGATAGAGAAATGATGCTTTACAAAACTATACATAATTACAACACATTTTATTCTATTATGTTGTATATTATGCAGCAGTTCTACTTTCTTCTGATTTAAAATATCATGCTTAACATAGTGAGTAAACAAATAAGGGTACTAACTAGAGAAAGGTTACATGAAGAAATTCAAAATTCTGTTTCTTAGATTTTATTTATTTTTAAATTATTCAAACTGGTCTTTTTATGTTTCTTTGATTAGGTAATTCAACAATCGTGAAATCTCAATACTCATCAGGCTTGACTGTGTTCAGTCAAACGTATTGCCGGACAAGAACTTGTTCCGATTCCGAGTACTACTACTATTATTATGCCTCAATGGCAGTCTATTATTATGAAGCCATTCTACTAAACGTGTCCTCATCAGGAAATTATATTCTTGTGTCCAGTAGTAGCATGGATACATATGGCTATATATACAATGATACATTTGATTCTACTAATCTAGCTGCGAATTTACTCATAGAAAATGATAATACCGGTGGCAATAAACAATTCCAATTAAATATTTTTCTTCGATCTCTGACACGGTACATTTTGATTGTAACAACATACGATGGTGACGAAAGAGGGTTGTTCTCAATCACTGCCACTGGTCCGGCACTGATTAGTTTTTCTCCAATGGATAGCACAAGTAAGAATTCAATATATTTGAGAGCACTTTTCCAACCAAACAGAACTTACCAAAGACTAATTTCGTAAAATTCTAGAAATGTTCATTTGATTCATTTCCTTCTTATCTAATCTATCAGATTTGACCTGGTAATTCAACAAAGGAGAACAGTACTCATAGGAAGATCAGAAAAAAAATGAAAACACTATTTTTCATATTTCGTTACTTTTAAAATTATTCAGTAACGAAAAAGCAAGAAATACTAATTGGTTTATCATTTTATTTCTCTTTTATTAATAAGAAAAACGTGTGAGCTTTCGATGTGTTTCGTACGTCATTATCAAACACAATTTAATTCTTTTTTATTGAATGTGATAATGATGTGTAAAACACATCAAAAGCTCACACATGTTATTAATAAAAGAGAA